ACGGGAATATGACATCTTTCAGTTGAGTTGAGGAAAAAGTAAATTCGATGGCTACTCTATCTTTGACCATTACTAGAAGATTAACGCAAAGTATTATTCTCTTCAAATGCCAAGCAAACAAAATCTGAGCTTTGAGCATGCATCTTTTCCCTCTATTATTGATCCACGATATATATATATATATATATATACATTACATAATTAATTAATTAATTAAAAAAAAAGAAGAGAAACCATATATTCTCACAATAGGTACAAATTCCTACAATGATTTATTTATATTATTTTTTAGTAATAAAACGGTGATGCCATGATATAAGCGAATATGATGGGAGGTTCCAAGCCACGAACTGAACATCGTTTTGGACTTCTTTACCTCCTAATAATGCACATTAATAATAATATTAGCGTAAAAAAAAAAAAATGGATCTGGAAGGAACTCAAGACAAATGCAAATTCTTAAGCGGGGTTGTCGACTCTTGACTTGGGATAAATTTAAAAAAAAAAAAAAAGCAAAAGGCGACAGTGACTGAAATTCCCAAACATGTGATGATATTCATTTTTGCTTTGAACCAATCGAAAACTAGTCTATCTCGTCACGTAGACAGAGTGGCCTGTATTTTATGCTGAGATGGTTGCCAGCAAAGAAGAATTTCTTCTGCCACTAATTTGTTTAGGGAAAAGAAAAGAACAATTGCTTGCTAAAGTTGCCAAACAGGCAAAGCCGTTGCTGAAATAAGGAAAGATGGCTATCTATCCTCTACCACTAGTGCAAAAATTTTATAAAAATCTTAAAGGTGGGCGGATGATGTCACGAATTGTCCTGTGTTAATTTGTATATTATAAAAAAAAAAAAAAAAGTTGGTACGACTAATTATGAAATGAGATTGTGAAAGCATATGGCCAGCCACGCTCTTGAATAATCCACTGAAAAGCAACAAAAAGTGGACAGTAACTAAGTTGCTGTGTTTGTTTAGTGAGAGTGCTTGCGATTTGTTTAAGGAGTCTTGGCTTGGAAAATTTGACTAATGACACTGGGGAACCACTCTCCTGATTGGTAATCCCCACTGGGTCATTGAAGAGAGCCTTAGGTTCATTTGCTAATTGATTAGTGGAGAAAGCTCTAGAGTAATGTACTCCACTAGTTTTTTTTTAACTTCTTTAAAGCAAAGGTTGGACAAAAAATGGCAACCCTCCATCCATGCTGCAGAATGGAACTGGTTTTTTTCCCCCCCGCAAATAATACTCCATCCAAACGCACATTCTTTCCCCAAATATTTTATTGCTACCAACTCCAGAGGCTCTGGCTAGGAGTCATGCTATCAGGATATTACTGCGTGAGCCACAAAGTAAAACTGGTATTCCATCTAAACGCGCACGAACTTGCCTCGAATAAGCAAGTCTGGTGATCAGATGGGATCGTTTTAAATCGATACTATTGCTGCTTGATTTGAAATGCTGGAGATTTTTTGGTCAAAAATCAAATTGGTATGCGCAAAGGATGAAAAAAATCTTCAACCGTCGATCATTTGGCCTGGCCCTCATAAATGATAACTTGGCCGGAAGGAGCAAACTCTGCTCTCACTCTTTCTGGTCTGGTGTAATAATGAATTTCAGTCTCTGGGTAAACAAGAACATTATACATTATGCTCTTTCCGTGTTTTGGCTAGCTATCAAGACTCCAGATGGTCAATGAAATCAAGAAAAAAAAATGATAATGGTTTTCTCTTTCTACAAACACAAATCCGTAATGGTGCAAAACAACATTCGATGGCAAGGACTATCTTAGCAGGTTTCTGCTTCCTGAATAGCTATATAACTGACCGATGCAGCAGAGCAACTTTCCGTTGAAGAAGACTAAGCTTAGGTAATACCGTCACCTGTTTCCAGAACCCAAGCATCAGCATACTGCTGTGGATTATGCCTAGAGAGCAAAATAGCTCGATTGATGTAGAACTGCACCAGTTAAACCATTGATTCATAGACCAATGACTTTAAACATGCATAATCCTCGTGACGCTTCATCCGGAGAACATCACTCTCCATGAGCAAACCTTTGCCCACAGGCACTGTTATTACCAAAAGTTCCCACAAGAACATTCTCCATTCCTGAAATGGTGGAATCGTACATGATCCCTGAGAAATATATCTCTTTGATAAATCTTTGACAGTATTTTCATGAAAGAATGGCAATCCTCACAAGGGCGGAAATTTTTTACAATTCTTATGGAGGTTCCTGGGCTGGTTTTAATCAGGCCAAATGAAACCGCAAGTTTCTCGCTGTGGTGAAATAGTTCAAAGGCTTTCTCCTCATCATCAAGTGACAGATCTGAGTGTTTTGGATCATAACCTTCACAGCTCAAGTTCAATGCTATTTCACCCATTTTCCCAATAATTTCTTCCACTTCAACATGCCCCAGTTCACCAGTGGTAAATTCATAAATTTCACCGTTGATCTCCGTTCGACTATACCCTGAGGCCCTCAGAAGTTTTTTTCGATTGGTCAATGCTCTTGTTTTGCCATTCTCCTTCCATTTACCCTCAGACACACGGATATTCCGGTGAACAACATAAGCTCCAGAGTCATTGGAATCCAATTTCAATAGTTCAAAATGCTTCATCAGACGTTCACCCCTCTCTACATCTCCATGAATTTGACAGGCCCTTATCGAGCTCCTCCAAAGGACAGCATCCGGTTCAACAGGAATCTTATTCATAAATGTCTCAGCATTTTCTAAATGCCCAACTTGAACAAGCATGTCTATAACACAACCATAATGCTGCATTTTAGGCCTGATCTTATACTTCTTCTTCATAGTTCTGAAGCAAGCCAAGCCTTCACTCACCATATGCCCATTCCTATAAGCTGATAAAAGCGCAGTCAATGTCCTCTCATCTTCGCTTTATATCAAGACCCTTCATCTTATCAAACAATTCCGTAGCCTCTTCACACTGCCCATGAATGGCAAGGCCAGCAATCATTGCAGTCCATGTAACAACATCCTTGTTCACTGTTTCAGAAAATACCTCCTTCGCACCATCTATGCACCCACATTTCGCATACACGTCTATGAGAGCCGTGCTAACTTTACCGTTCAAACTAATAAGCTTCTTCTCCCTAACCAGATCATGAACTTTTCTACCCATACTAAGAGCACCAGTATCAGCACAAGCTCTAAGAACCGAAACAACCGTTGCTTCATTACATTCAACGTCATTTTCCGACATGTGCTCAAACAAAGCTATAGCTTTAACGGGTTTATCATTATCCACAAGCCCATCGATTATAGAAGTCCAAGACACCACATCTCTCTCGAGCATTTTGTCAAACACCTTGAACGCGAGGTCCGGAACACCGCCAGCTGAATACATACGAATCAATGCATTGCTTATATGCATATCCGGCCCAAAACCCAACTTGCAGACTAGTCCGTGGAGTTGTTCTCCAAGAGGGATTTGACGTAATTTGGAGCAAGCTTTGAGGACAAAGGGACAAGTGAACTTGTCCGGTCGAGGTGTACCAGGAGATGGCGGATTCTGCATTGCTGCTAAAAATAGGCTAATGGCTTGGGCAGGGTGGGTTAAGTCGGAATAGGCTCGAATCATAATCGTGTTATAGTAATAAGAATTTGGGGTTTGGAGGGAATTAAGGATAAGGCGGGCGTAGGACAAGCTACCTGAGGGCGAGAGAGCTGAGAAGGTAAAGAGCTTGCTGAGGGTTTGTTCGGTACTAGGATTATGGTTTTGGCAGCCAGACTTGAGGACTTGGGCATGGAGCTGCAGAGCTTGAGCCATAGTAGCGATTTCCATGTTATTGTACTTGGAAATGGAGCCTCGGAGGGCAGAAGACAGCAGTATACTAACAGCTTCAGGATGGCAGCTGCCGGCGGGAATGCTTTTGTTTTACGGCTGGCCGGCTGGGGCACTGAGCCTTCAGCGCGCGGGAATGATTTCGAGATGTTTTGAAAGTGGGCCAACAATAAGTTTTCTAGGCCTGTGTAGTGGGGCAAATCTGCACGTGACACGTGTCAGCTCGGCAGGTTGTACGCGTCAGGTCGACAGCGGAGACCTCACGACTCGCAGGCGCTAGCTCGGCATGTGGATGCCAGCTCGGCCTTACTTGTCGCTCCCTGAGATGGGCCTATGGGCCGCCGCCTCCGAACTTGTAGGAGTCGCCGCACGAAACCCTAAGAAGACTCCGAACCCTACGGGGATTCTGACTTTCACAAGGAAACTACAACCTACTCTGCCCTATATAAACCATGCCTAGGGACAATACAAGGTACGCAAACACGAGTACTCTAAACTATCACTTTGTGGACAAGCTTACTGACTTGATCGTCGGAGTTATTTCAGGGACGCCAGTCCCGCAATTCCCCCTTTCCTTCACAGGACCAGTAGCTCGGCTAATCCTCCCAGGACGACTTGGCCCGGCTTGCTACAGGTCAGCTCGGATCTGGTTTTTGGCAGTCGCATCAATTGGCGCCGTCTGTGGGAACACGTAACTTCTCTTGCGAACCATGCCAAGAACGAGGTCTCAGAGGAATGCCGATGGATCCAAGGGGAACGGAGGAAGCGGCCTCCAACAGTCTGCCCGGAGTCCGACCCCTAGAGGCGAGGGGACGGGACCATCGCGGATCCCGCCGGAGCAACTGGTTCAAGCGGTAGCAGGAAGTCTGCCCACTTTCGAGGCCATTGTGAGTTACCTCAGGGGGCAGACAGGAGGGCCTCTGGGCCAGGAGCCGAAGAACTCGGAGGGTCCAACCGAGTCCAGGACTGGGAGGCCCAACCCCCAGCTCAAACGAGTGCGCCGGGAGCCCTCAAGCGAGCACATCGACGTGGGGGAACCCACTCACAAGCACTCCCGAACTGAGCACCCGGAGCCTGTCCGGAGGTATTCTAAGGATGAGCCCTCACCTCGGAAAGAGCAGCTCCAGGTGCAGGACTAGCTGGACCTGCTCTTGGATGCCAAGGCGGACAGGTATATCGCGTCCCCTTTCATGCCTGATATAGAGAACTATCCGTTGCCCGCGAAGTTCAAGATACCTAGCATGAAGCCTTACGATGCGACCACGGATCCGGAGGATCATTTGTTTGCATTCCTGACCCAAATACGTCTGCAAACGGCAGCAGATGCGGTCAGGTGCAAGACTTTTCTCATGTTTCTGGAGGGGAAGGCACGTCAGTGGTTCCAGGGGCTTCCCCCCAAGTCCATTAGGTCCTTTGCTCAGCTTGCTCGGCTGTTTGCAGCCCAATTTGTCTCATCACGAGCCTTCTCCAAGAGCACGGCGCACCTAATGACCATTCAGCAAAGGCCCGAGGAATCCTTACGCGAATACATGGTGCGTTTCAATAACGAGTCCCTTCAGGTCAGGGATCGCGATGACAAGGTGGTCATGGCAGCCTTCATCAACGGGCTGCGCAAACAGAAGCTCTACACCGAGCTGGTGGAGAGACCACCCAAGTCAGTTCGGGAGATGCTAGACCGCGCGCACGAGAAGGCCAATGCGGAGGAGGACAACCGCTTGAAGAGTGCGCAGGAAAGACTGAGGGACGACAAGCGCAGGAGGGGCACTGACCAGGTGGATGCGCGATCTGTCTTGGGCAGGAAGAGTGCCTACGACTGTCCACCCAGGAACCGCCCCATGGGGAGAGACAAACCCTGGACTACACTTACTGCGCCCCGCGCTCGGGTCCTCGCGGTGATGGAGCAGGAGGGGCTGTCCCGACCTCCCCGACCCCTGGGTGGGGACAAAAGTAGACGAGACCAGGGGCTATATTGTGCATATCACCGAGACGTATGGCATGACACGGAGGACTGTCGTCACCTTAAGAAGGACATTGAAAAATTGATCAAACGAGGTCACTTGGGGCAGTTCGTGCGAGACGAACGAGCTGATCCCCAACGGGGAAGGCCTAGGTCGGAACGACCGAGCTACCCCCCTAACCGACCTCAGGGGCATCGAGGCCGAACTCCCGAGCAGGAAACACAGAATCTGGCAGGGGTGATTAACACCATTGCCGGGGGACCTGCCGGCGGGGATAGTCATACAGCTCGGCGGCACAACCGCCCCCCTCCCACGGGGGAGAGCTCGGCGAAGCGATTGAAGGTATATGAGGAAATTATCTATGGACCTGAGGATGCAGTACCTCTGGCTTCTAATAACCATGAGGCCATCGTGATAGAGGTCGTCACCTGTAACTACAAGGTGAAAAAGGTATACATAGACAATGGAAGTGCCATAGATGTGCTGTATTACAAAACCTTCAAGGAGCTGCAGCTGGAAGACAGGCAACTCATCCCGGTGCGAACTCCGTTAATCGGGTTTGCAGGTCCTCCTGTGAGGCCAGAAGGAATGATAACCCTCATGGTCACAGTGGGAGTTTCACCGAGGTGCCGGACTGTTCCGGTGAACTTTACGGTGGTGAAAGAGCCCTCTTCCTACAACATAATCCTGGGACGGCCAACTTTGAATGCCCTCCGAGCTGTTTGTTCCACTTTGCACCTCAGTATGAAGTTCCCCACCCCGGATGGGGTGGCAGAGGTGCTCGGAGATCCGGAAGTAGCCAGGGCCTGCTATATTGCCACCCTTAAAGGCAAGGAGAAATTGGTAGCCCAAACTACTTGTTTAGAACCTTGGGAGCCCCTGGAGAAGGGGGAAAGGTTGGAGACGGATGAAGGGCTGACCGAGTTGCCTGTCCGCCTTGACCAGCCTGAGCCCACGGTCAAGGTCGGCACCTGCCTGGGCGATTCAATTCGGGATTCCTTGCAATCTCTCTTAGAAGAGTACGCAGAGATCTTTGCATGGAGTGCAGATGACATGCCAGGTGTCCCGACCGAGCTGGCCGTTCACAGGCTGCATGTGGACCCCGGCGTCCGACCTGTGAAGCAGAAGAAGAGGAGCTTTGCTCCCGAGCGAAAGGAGGTCGTCCGAGGCGAGGTGAGTAAGCTGCTGGAGGCTAAGATCGTTAAGGAGGTCTACTACCCAACCTGGCTAGCCAACCCGGTGCTGGTCAAGAAGGAGGAGAAGGTATGGAGGATGTGTGTGGATTTCACAGACTTAAATAAGGCCTGCCCAAAGGACTGCTACCCACTTCCACGGATTGATCAGCTGGTGGACTCAACAGCGGGTTATGAGATTTTCTGTTTCTTGGACGCTTTCAAGGGGTACCATCAGATAGCCCTGGACGAGGAGGATCAGGAGAAGACCTCGTTCATCACCGAGGACGGAACCTATTGCTATGTCACCATGCCATTCGGGCTAAAAAATGCATGCGCGACCTACCAGAGGTTGGTAAACAAGTTATTCAAGAATCAGGTCGGCCGAAACCTGGAAGTCTACGTGGATGATATGTTAGTAAAAAGTCGCACTCAGGAGCAATTCATCTCTGACCTAAGAGAAGTTTTTGAGGTCCTCCGGAGCTCACGGATGAGGCTAAACCCAAAAAAGTGTACCTTTGGGGTCAGATCGGGAAAATTCTTGGGTTACATGATTTCTAGAGAAGGGGTGAGGGCTAACCCGGACAAAATCAAGGCTATTATGGACATGGCTCCACCTCGGAATATTAAGGAGGTGCAACGTTTGACTGGGAGGATGGCGGCCTTGAACAGGTTCCTGTCTAAATCGGCGGTTCGGGGGTCGCCTTTCTTTAAGGCCCTGAAGGGAGGTCGGCAGTTTGAATGGAGTCTAGAGTGCCAAAAAGCGTTTGATGAGCTAAAGGAACACCTCGCTCGGTTGCCAGCCCTGACCTCTCCCGAGTTGGGGGAAACCCTGTTCATCTACTTAGTTGCGGGAGAGGGGGCCATTAGCGCGGTGCTGGTTCGGGAGGAAAACAAAGTCCAGAAACCCGTATACTATGTCAGCCGCGCCCTGCAGGGAGTCGAGGCAAGGTACTCGGCCGTAGAACGGTATGTTTTGGCATTAGGACATGCAGTTCGGAAGCTCAGGACGTACTTCCAAACTCATCCTGTGGTGGTTATGACGGACCAGCCCCTGAAGCAGATCCTCTCCAAGCCCGAGTCCTCGGGTCGAATGGTGAAATGGGCTGTGGAATTATCAGAGTACGATCTGGGATATCAGCCTAGGACAGCCATCAAGGCTCAAGCATTAGCAGACTTCATAGCAGATGGCGTTTCCTTTGGACCGCCCGAGACAGACGTCAATCAGGCTAAAGCCTTACAAACCCCGAAAACTACCAAGACCACGCAGACCCAAGAAGCAGCAGAGGTCGCAAAAGCCGGAGACGCTGCCGAGGTCACCAGGTCGGCCAGGTAGCAGAGGTCGGACTGCTTGATGAGGCAGCTATGGCCCAGCAGGCCGAAAAGACCACCAGGAACAGACAGGTCGGAGAAGCAGGTAAGGCCGAACAGACTCGCGAGACTGCCAAGGTCGGGAAGACTAAGGAGGCAGCTGAGGTCGGACAGACCATAGACGCTGTCGAGGCCACGTACCCTGGAGAAGTCGTTAAGGCTGAACTGGCCAGAGAGACTGCCCAGGATGGAAAGGTTACCGAAGCTGTAGGGCGAGCTGATCCCGTCTGGACGTTGTACGTGGATGGCGCGTCGAGTAAAGAATGATGTGGTGCCGGACTCCTCCTAATCAGCCCCACTGGGGAAGAGCTACCCTATGCAGTAAGGTTTGATTTCAGAGCCTCTAATAATGAATCTGAGTATGAGGCTCTAATTGCAGGAATGGAGATGGCCAGGAAGCTAGGTGCCAGGTCGTTGAAAATTTTTAGCGACTCGCAGCTGATAGTGAACCAGGTCGGGGGAAGCTACGAGGTCAAAGAGGGGGCGCTGAAAAAATACGTGGCCAAAATACACGAACTAAAGGGCCTGTTCGAGCAGTTCGCACTGGAACAGATCCCGCAGAGCCAGAACAAGAGAGCTGATGCCCTGTCCAAACTGGGCTCCACCTCGGCTGGCATCCTAGGTCGGGAGATAGTGGTGGAGGTCGTCAGAAGTCGTGCGTATGACCAGGTCAGTACTGCGGTCATCCAGGTGGTGAACTCTTGGATGGATCCTATTGTTCGATACTTGGCACAGGGGGAGCTCCCCCTGAGCAGGATAGAGGCCCGCAAAATTCTCCTTAAGTCGCAGAAATACACGCTCGCGCAGGGAGTCCTGTATAGGAAATCCTACTTGCAGCCCTGGCTGAAGTGTATAACACCAGAGGAAGGGGGCTATGTCCTGCGCGAGCTGCATGAGGGCATTTGTGGTAATCATGTAGGTACCAGGGTATTGGCCAAAAAGGGAATGCTGGCCGGATACTATTGGCCGACCATCTTCCGAGACTCGGCCGAGCTAGTGGCTCGGTGTAAGTCTTGCCAGCTACACGCTCCAATTCATCATACTCCCACTCAGGAAATGATCCCACTTAGCAGCCCCTGGCCGTTCTTCCAGTGGGGAATTGACCTGCTGGGACCATTCCCACGAGCTCCGGGAGGTTATGAATACTTGGTAGTAGCTATTGATTACTTCACCAAATGGATGGAGGCTGAGCCCCTCGGTACGATCAGCAGCAGGTCGATCCAGAAGTTCCTGTGGAAAGGCATAATCTGCCGATTTGGCATACCCAGGGCTCTCGTCTCGGATAATGGCCGACAGTTCGCGGATCGTTCGCTCCAAGAGTGGTGCACTGAGCTCGGCATCCGGCAGCACTTCACCTCGGTAGGGCACCCCCAAGCCAACGGGCAGGTCGAGAATGTCAACAGAACCATCCTGCACGGTTTAAAGACAAGGATAGAATCTGCCCGAACGGGTTGGCTAGACGAGCTGCCCACTATACTTTGGGCTTACCGGACTACGCCTCGGACGGCTACTCAGGAAACTCCATTTGCTCTGGCCTATGGAATGGAAGCGGTAATCCCTGCGAAAATTGGGATGCCATCATCCAGGGTGCAGCACTTCGTGGCTCAGAGCAACGAGGAAGGAATGCGGCTCGACCTGGACCTGCTTGAGCATAGAAGGGAAGAAGCAGCTATAAGAATGGCTAAGTATAAAGGCCAGGTCGCGCGTTACTACAATGCCAAGGTAAGGCACCTCTCTTTCAAGCCAGGAGACCTGGTGCTACGCAAAAATTTCGTAAGCCGAGCTGTGGGCACAGGCAAGTTAGACCCGAATTGGGAAGGCCCTTATGTCATAAAGGAAACTGACCGAGCAGGTTATTGCAAGCTAGCTCGTCTGGAGGGAGGCGAAGTCCCACGCACTTGGCACAACTCAAATTTAAGGCTTTTTCTTTAATATTCTGACCGAGCTGCTAATAGCCAGCTGGATAGGTCCACTCTTGTTTTATTAGTTCGGCATTTGGATTTATAAATGTAGTCAAACTTTGGAATAAAGAGAAATTTTTTGCAAGTGTTAGGAAAGAAAAAGGCCACATATATTCCATATCACAAAGCATGTACAGGTGGGGGGCCATACAAAAGCGAGCTGGCCAGCTCGGTCCCTAATCTAGCCTAAACCCTACAAGTCTGGGCTATGCCCTATTTGCTCAGCTCTCCCCTATTTGCTCAGCTCTCCCCTTGCTGTTCTTGCTCTGGCTCTGGGGAGAGTGCGGGAAGAGTCGGGTCGGCAATCAAGGCGGCCAGGTCGCGGCCATTGGAATAGCCCGTGACAAGCCTGTCAATTTGGTTGGTGGATTGGGGGTTGAAGTCAGGCCATTTGCTCAGGTCAAAGCCCGGCAACTTCAGGGACTCCACATCCACCAAGGCTTTCGTGTAGCCGAGTTGCAGGACAGGGCCGTTTAGGAGGGCCAGGTCGTTCATGAAGCCCTCAGACTTCTTGAACTCTTTGACGCCTAGCTGGCGTCCTTCTTCCCTTGCCGCCTCCACTAGCTCGGCAGATTTTTTCTGCTCTGCCTCCAGAGTCGCAGCCAGTTCGGCCCCTTTCTTCTTTTCCAATTCACAGGAGGAGTTGTCATCTGCAAGCTGCTTCTTCAGGGTCTCCAGCTCGGTCTTTGCAGCCTCGAGCTGGCTCGACAACTTTTCCTTGGCAGCGTCAACCTGGGACAGGTTGGCCCCCATGTTCTCATACCGCTGAGCCAGCTCGGCCCCCACAACATTGAGCTGCATGTCAGTCATGGGATAAGTAGGCAGCAAAACTCGGAAGGATGCCAAAGAAAGTGCTAGTTAAGGAGCTACCTGGGTGGTGCTGAGGTAGAAGTGCTCTAGCAGCTCGGCATTGGAGGCAAGTTGGATGAAGTGGTGATCGCGGGGGAGCACCGCGCCCTTGACGAGCTCCTTCGCCACTTCAGGGAACTGAGCTCGGTCGTTCACCGACAACCCCCACTTCGGGCAGAAATGGAGGGGGTGTGGGTGTGAGCCCAGTTCGGTAGAGGGTTTCATGGGAATCACATTCCTCATGCGCCACATAGCGGGGGGAGATTGTGACGAGGCCTGCTGCTCGGCGGAGCTCACCCCGTAATGAGAGGTAACGGCAGTAGAGGGCTCCTCCTGGGACTGGGGGGAAGCCGCCTCTGTCCTGGCCTTCTTGGCCGTGGATTTCTTTCTTTTCTTCTTGGGTCCTTCCCCCAGTGAAGACTGAGCGGCAGTCTGGGGAGTGGACACAGGTGGAGGTAGAGGAGCCGTGCTGCTCGGCGCAGTGGAAGGCGCAGGAGTTGGCGTGCTCGCGCTACCAGTTCCGCCAATGTTCAGCAGTTGGGAAAACCTCTTCACTGCAGGGCAAAAACACTTAGTCAGTTAGGGTGATGTGGACTCATGGAAAGGAGGAGGTCGAGAAAATTACAAGCTGTCAGCTCCTCGGGGGTGATAGGTCGGAGATCGGGGGCAGGGTCGTTCACCTCTACTCGGATTAGCCCCGCCGACCAGAGTTGGGCATTGTTAAATTCCTTCACCTTCAGTTGAGCTTCCGAGCTGACCAAGCGGTCTAGCTCGGCCTCGGGCAGAGGAGAAGGGATTGGATCGGTTACCTGGGTATCCTCCCTCCAAGTTAGGGGAGGAAACCCAGTATTCTTCACAAAAAAGAACTGGGCTTTCCAGCCCTTGATGGAGAAGGCATATGAGTGAACAGCTCGCGGGTAGGGAGTTCCCCTCCGCTCCTGCGAGCAAAGTAGAACCAACCATGAACTGGGCCGCTTACCTTCATCTGAAAGAAGGACCTAAATAAGTTCAGGGAATAAGGGATTTCAAGAGTTCGACACAAAATAAAGAAGCCGAGGATGGACCGAATAGCGTTGGGAACGACCTGGGTGATTCGAATGCCCCAGAAGGTTAGGATGTCATAAAGAAATTGGGGAATGGGAAGGCGAAGACCAGCCACGAGCTGATCCCTGTAGATAGCTACAAACCCAGGGAGAGGTTGGCAAGCGTACTCCCCTAGCCGGGCTGCCCTAGCCTCGAACTGGGGAAGGATGTCATACCTCCCCACCAGCTCATCTACGTCCCCCTGGTCGAGAAGGGGGGAATAATTTCGACTTCTCCAAAGTCGATGTCTGGCCCCCTAGGGGGTCCTGCCCTAGAGCGAGCTGGAACTACCTCCAGAGGAATCCCTGGGACAGCAGCTCCAGTCCCGAGCTGAGCAGATGGGCCAGGTTGGTCCATGGCTATAGCAAGAGGTGGGGTTGGGGGAGGAAGGTATTCAGAATCAGACGAGCTGGAAGAAGAGGGGCTGGAGGAAGGTATTTCTATGAGTGCAGGTCGGGTAATCCTACGCCTAGGTGCTGAGCTGGTAAGGTCTGAGTGTGTGGAGGAAGACGACATAAAAGGAAAAGGAGGACTTACTGGTGGATAAAGGAGAAGAGCTGGGATGTGCTTAGAAGGTAATCCTACTCTCGGACGACCTCACGGAATGCGGAGCGAGCTGAAGAAGACTGGAGGAGAAGAGAAAATGAGAAGGGAGGCTTGAAAGTGACGTTTGGTGGGGCCTATTTATAGGCTCCCTGGGCGGGAAGCCGAAGAGTCCTGAGGAAGAAATTCGAATTTATTGCAAGGGGGCGGTTACCTTGGAAAACGCTTGAGCTGACAAAACCTCCATCATGAAGGACGTGACCCTTGAAGTGACGGTTACGACGGCGGACGTGGCAGTTTTTAGGAGAAGGTACGTGATCGTGGGATCGTGGGTCCCGCACGAAGCCGACGTGACGCTTCGAAGTTTGGTCCAGACCCACGTGACTCATCAGTGACTCTAGACTCAAGGGGGCTAGTGTAGTGGGACAAATCTGCACGTGACACGTGTCAGCTCGGCAGGTTGTACGCGTCAGGTCGACGGTGGAGACCTCACGACTCGCAGGCGCTAGCTCGGCATGTGGATGCCAGC